GGCTGTAAAGTAAATATCACTGTAGAGTTTCAACTATGCAGCTTAAGTGACACATGTTCAGTGTGAAATTTTACCTAACTCTTGACCTGGCTTTGTCTTACTCTGGCTGTTGCATGCATGTTCACAGCTATGCAGCAATTCATGCAACTTGTGCATGTAGTTTTCTGGAATACCTTTTGGGTTTTCTAGGATGCATATGTGTATCTAATCTATAAGAAAGTAGCCATTCATGTGTTGACCTCTATATTAAGGTAGATGATGGTACAGAAGGATTTAGATGCCAGTCTGAGACTGGAGACTACAACTCGGATACTGTGTTTTACACAATGAACTGCTTTTTACCAGAAAAGCTGCCTACATTGTCAACGGGTACAAAGAATGTATGTCTAAAACAAAGCAACTCTTTGTTCTATTTTCTAACTCTGTTAGATTTTGGAGGTTTTTGACAAGTTGATTCACACTTCACAGGTCTCTTCAGTTACTATTTTGGTGAATGCATTAAAGCTTGTGATAAATGCATCATTTTGCAAATTAGAGGAAAATACAGCAACTGGAAGAAATAATGACATAACATTTTTATTTATGAAAGTACATTTAGCTATTCAGTCCTCTAATATATTGAATTTGGGGGACTTTTGAAAGCCTAAATATTGTTAGTGTATTTTGAATTAGTCTAAATTGTTTTAATGAACTACTTAAATGCAAATGATATTTTGTCAAGAAAAGTGTAATAAAAAAAATTAAAAGAATGGCACTTCAGGAGACCACAGGTTTGAAATTGGAGTTTCCATTAGTCTTTCAACTCTGTGTAGTAATCTTGTACACTCTTGCTCAGTTATTCCACAAAATAAGCTTATTTAAACTGACTGAACAGTATCAGTATTGTGACTCTATTTATGTAGGTTCAACTAGGCTGTTCATAAATCCAGTATCACACATTATCGGCTCTGTTTAAAGAAACAATAGAAAGCATGCTTCTACATGTAAATGCAATCACCTTCACTTCATAAAGTTAAATTGGCTTCATTTAAGCATTTATGCTGCTTAGGTATAGTCACCCTGAAATAAGCTGTTGAGGACACTGCAGTTTAACCCAGGGCATATTGCACTACCCTTAAGCTTTCAGCACTTTTACAGCAGTATAACGGAAACAGAAGGGAAATGCCTTAATTCAGATATAAAAGAACAAGTACAGTATGCGTCATAGACGACACATCAGTCTGTTTTTCAGACAAGGCTTTCAAAGGTTAATGATATGTATTGCTTCAAATTCTATATGCCAGACTTCAAAAATAAGGAGATTGATTCCGAGATGTTCAGAATGATTTCTGAATATCAAACTCTGCAAAATATTGGAAGGTTTGGCTGCCCAACATCATTAACTATTTCTTAAAAACGTGGTCTCTGACAGGCTGAAACCAGTGAAGACCACGTCTTAGAATGTTGAGGTTTTTTACTCTGCCCAAGGTTTTTGAAGCAATAATCTTAGTGACTTATGATTTAAAACAAAAATATAAACACCAACACCTACACCAATACCACAGCCCATGATATATCTGGGTACTTCCACATAACTTTTTTGAAATAAGAAGCATAAGGCAAAAGACATAGTATTGTTACTTTTAAAGTTACTACTTTAAAGTAGTATTAAAAGGTAATAATGTACAGCATGAACGGGAGAAGGTTTTTGAATTCTTGTTTATAGTAACAGTTCTACTGATGAAGCAAAACGAACTGTGAAGCAACAGCCGCTTTCTCCATCTTCCTTGCAGACTTCCAAAAGCTTAAAGAACAATCTTAGTATAAGAAATAAATCCCACCTTCCTGCTTGAAGATGGAATATTTTCAAATCTCCTTGGGACAAGTATAAAACTGTTTACAATAGTTTGACAAGAAAGCAAATAGCTAGAGTTGCTATTTAAATTCAATTTGAAATATTTTCATAAGTAAATTAATTACTGGTGACTGAGAACTTCAGAAATTACAATATACTGTTAACAGTACTCTCTGTAATTTCTCTCTTTATTTTTAATCTTTATTCAAGGTTTTTATGTTTCTCAGATGAACACTTGTCATTCTTAATCACTTGTTTGCAATTCTAAGTGGAACATTTGAGTAACCATCAAACTCTTACAGAATTTATGATAGATGTAGGTGGAGTAAAGCAAGAAATAGTCTCAAAGATCTCATATTTGTAGTCAGCCTTAAAGTAAATTAGAACCTTTGATATACTATCATCCCAACTCCTGCTTAGCTGCTAATGCCCAATTTTAAAGGCAAATAAAAAAGGTACGTGCACATTTTCTGCCTGCTATGTAGAAGAAAACATTCCTTTCTGACCTTTGCAAATGATCTATTTACATCCTGAAGCATAAGATTTCATTATCTTTATCTTAGTAGGCATAAGAACCAGTGTTAGTAGCCATGAAATTATTCAATGCTTTTAAGAATTCTAGCTGCAGTATCTGACTCTCTAACCTCTTCAAGGCTGACTGCACACTGTGTATGACATTTTCTTTTATTTCTTTTAATTTAGTTGACATTCATTTCATTTGTATGATGAAAGAAAAACGGAAGATCTCTGTTGCAGTCTCCTCATAATCCTAAATATTTCACTCAAAAGTCATTCTAAAAGCTTTTCCATGTTAAATACTACAGCAGCACCTTGTTCTTTTGGGAAAAGTGCTTCAAAATTCAGCATTAGTGAAGAAAATTTGTAAAGAAAATTCTTTATTATGTTCTAGCATGATCAGCTAATACATACTTTGTTTGTTTTTATAACTAAGTGAAACTTAATAAACCTACCTTTGTTCCTTGCTATCTTTACATTGGTAACCAGTGCTTTCAGATATTACGTGCTTACTCTAATTTGAGAATTACTCAAATTTCAGATTTGGAAATTGAGACCTGGAGACTGAGCAATTTAGCCAAGATCATGTAAGGGAAGTCAGTGACAAAGCAGGGACAGGCTCAAGACTCAAGTCCTCCACTGGTATCTCAACTTGTTAGAAAAATCCCCGTTCTTAAAGAGAAAAGCTGTACAGCTAATGCTGTCTGCCACAGAGTCCATAATCTAGGAATTCACCTAACGATGTACACAGTACCCCTTGCCCTCACAACAGAGGACTGAAAGTACAAATCCTATTTAAATAAGTCCATGTCTTCTTGCTCATTTCATGGTTCTCCATGGGGAAAAAGTAAACCTAAAATATGCCTAATCTTGAGGAAGACTGTTATTGTCTCTTTTTGCTATAGCATTTTAGCTTAACAAAAAGGTAACTGCATCAACCTGATTTTTTTTTTTTTTTTGCAGAGCTCATCTAAGTGTATTTAGTTGACATTTATCTTGCCTTTTTAAATAACATTATCATAGCGCTAAAACTACAATAAGACAGAATATTTACCTCATGATTAAACAGGCCTGCTTCAAGACATGTCTGACAGCATATGGCCAGCTTCTTCCTAAAAAGCTGGTGGAGGGCGGGGAGGCTCAGAAAAATAGAACCATGAAGTAATCACTGTATTGAATTAGGGGTTCAGAATTACCATCATCCAATATACGAAGTAGTTTGTCCCCCATAAGAGGATACAAAAGCTGAAGAGCTGCTTCTGAAAGGTGTCGTATCTTCGTAGTCCCTTGGTGTAACAGCCTTTATAATACTCTTGTACAGCCACTTCCCAGAGACTTCCCACTGGGATCACTTCTGGAGCTTGTTTTTTCTTGAAAGGGTGTTTGGCTTTGCCAAAGAACTTGTGGTGGTGGTTGGTTGGGAGTTTTTTTCCCCCCGTTTACTGCAACTGTGCAAGATGCAGTGCAGCTAGCATGGCCAACAGCCAGTTGTCTGAAGCAAAATACTAACTTTCAGTTTTGGATGAAAGTGTAGAGAGGTAGAAAGGAGTTGGCTGTAAATTCATTACAAAATGTGAATTCGTGTTCTTTAATTCACATTCCGTTATGTTTTGTCGCTTTTAACGTGTAATTTCCAATTTCAGGCATAATCTGTCAGGTGTCAAAGCAGAGAAGAATCTGACACTTAAAAAATACTGGCTGTACATTATATCTTTGTGAAAAGCTGTTTCTGTTGGTCACGTAAACGTACTTGTGGTTGTCAAGTATCCCTTGAACTCATTTCTGTTAATCTGGTGACGGGCTGAATTCACTGTGGTGGTGATGAGGTGCTGAGATCATTACTGATC